GGTAGTTGAAAGCATTTGGGAAATTCTACATAAAGTGGACATACAAGCAGCACAAGATGCATTCCTGATGGCCACCTTGGTCCTGCATTTTCATGGGCAGAGTTATGGCTCTGCTTCTCCGTTTCTGTATTTTGCAGTTTCCTAAGAAGATTCTTAAGTGACTTCTGTCCTTTTCCATCTAGGAATGGCCATGCAGTTTCTATCTTTAAAGGTAGAATGATGTAATGAACAACAAGGTCATCTCTAGATTCATTATATCCATCTCCCAGAAGGCTAACGCCTGGTTTCCAATCACACTCTTATTTAAAACCCAAATGAGAGAGGTTTGGGCAACCCCTGGGGAAAAACATGCAAAAATACTTTCTAGGAAACAACATTAAGCCACTTCTGTCATACTTATGCCTTTTTCAGCTGTGATCCTCAGCCGGGACAAGTCCTTGCACAGAAAGGAGATCTTGTAGATGGCACCAGACACTAACGTCAATGTGCGGTCACAGGTGCGAGGATCCTTACAGATGAGGCATATAGGTTCAGACATGAGCGGGGCACGGATGGGCCACCCTTCAAAGTGTATCATCACAGTCGTGTTCCACTCCTTGCTCAGGTCAACCAAATGGGTGACATCTGCAAAGAAAAACATTCCAGAACTATTACTAGCAAGAAGCATGGTGCAGAGCAGAACATCCTCCAGCTCTTCTCCCGCATTAGACAAGCAGCTGTTTCTATATCAGCTAAGAAAACATTACTTACTTCTTTCCATCAGTGTCATAAGAACTCAGGCAGCTCTTCAAATTTAAAGTTTTGAGCCTTCCCACACATAAACCCCATTTTCCTACAGCTTTCCAGCTACAACAGAGTAACACAAATGCTATCCCCTTTTGAATCATAGAATCATTTGAGGTGGAAAAGACCTTAAAGCTCATCCAGTTCCAAGCCCCTGCCATGGGCAGAGACACCTCACATTAGACCAGGTTGCTCTAAGCCCCAACTAACCTGGCCTTGAACACTGCCAGGGATGGGGCAGCCACAGCTTTTCTGGGCACCCTTTGCCAGCGCCTCAGCACCCTCACAGGGAAGAGCTTCTTCCTTGTATCTAATCTAAATCTACCCTCTTTTGAAGAGGTTAGGCAAGAGGTCAGACTGAATTCTCCAAGTCACTGGCAGATGCAAGCACAGAACCTAGGATTTCTACCACAAGGTTTCTGATTCTTCAGTACGTTTCATAGCAGCTAAACACAGAGAGGGTTAGATCAAGAAGTTATTTCAGCTGGAGAGAGCTGTATTTTCCCCCTATTTAATGACAAGCACCACAGACAGTTGTGTAATACTCAGATGTTTGGGAAGCTTTGAGAATATGCAGATACCAATGCATTTTTAATAAGAGCCATGTTTAACTTGCACACTGCAGATGGCTTATTTTAATCAAAATTTCAATACTGTCCTGAGGGCTGAACGTGAATCTTTGATGGAACTTATATGACTACCAAATCACAGATGAAATCCTACGAAATCCCTAGAGAAACCACTGTTGTCTCTTAAATACAAGTGATTTATTACTTGCATTTCCAATTTGTCATTTCAATAAATGACAACCTGGTTTTCATTTTTTAGGTTATTAGAATCTTGTCTGCTGGCAAAAAGCATGTTAAAATTCATCTTTGCTTTCCAAAAGTAGAAGGGAGATAAAGCTAATTAACTGAATACAATGTTTTCACTCTGCTTAGCTTCCAAGCTGCAGCACACAATAAATGTGAGCAAACATGATTTGGTTAACAACAATTTTGGCAGTATTTGCTGTTCATGAATGCAGCCAGACCCGACAGAGACAGAACTGAGGATTACAGTGGTGAGATGCTACAGACCCTTTCTGGATCTGTGACTTCAACATAAAGGCCATTTAAATTTTATTCCCTTTAAAATTCCCTAGAAAGCCTCTGAGTAGCTCCTGCTGCAGTGAGTCCAGAGTGTGGGCTTTCCTTTATCTGCTCCTCTGCAGTGAGCGTACCTTGATTGTTAACCTCCACCATAAGCTGAGGTCAGAGCTAAGAAGCCAGATGATAAATCATTAACTCCATAGTTCACCATCTAGCCAGGCCTTTTAATTCAGTTTTTAGGTAAATGCTCTGGTATTACAAGTCATTGTGTTAAGCCAGTCTGAATTTGGAGCAAGAAAGCAGGAAAAAAAAAAAAAAAGTAAAATTCTTAATGTAGGAACAAGCAGCAAAAACCTCAAGAACATCCAAATATGTAGGAGATAATATTAGTGGAGTATCTTACACCTTCCATGTCCAGTGTGATTTTGTCACACTGGATAATGTTCAGGCTTCTCTAGGAACCAAAATAAAACTCAGAGGAAGAAAGGAAGGAAGGAAACACATATTGGTGCCATTAGTAGTATGGAGACAATTTTACATTTCTCTTTTCACCAGTTCATGCTACGGATCTTGCTACCTACCTTAGCAAACTTAAAAACTTAGCAGGTTTCCCTTTGCTAAGTATGACTGCTTATGTTCAGAACAGAAACCTGGGCTCATATTGTAAGTATGGTCTTTGAAACGTTGAATATTATGTCCGAAAATAAAACTGTTGAATAAGCTTGAATTTGGTTTCTCTACTCAAGAACAGGCAGTAACATGTGAGCCTGGAAAACTCCTAGTTATAGTCCTTGCCCAATAGCTAGATCATGCCCTCGAAGGGAACACAGTCACAAGGAAAAGCTAGCCAGTGCTTAGCTCTGCCTATACAACATGCAAGACCTGATACCCCAGGTGTTATAGGCATTTTTCAGTTACATAATGCAGCTGCTGGAAAAGGAATCTTCTTTGCAAGTTACAGTGTAAAATCTACCGTGGAGCCTTATACTCCACTGCAAATCTCAGCATCACTGTTTGTCTTACTGTAACCATGGCTGGTGGTACCCAGGTTGGTAAAACACCTCAGCATCACTTGGCAACCCACCTCCTTAAACTGAAAGAGGGTTCAAAGTTCAAGAAACATTACCCAAAAATCCTAGTATTTCTCTTTCTTGTGGTGCTCAGCCCAGCTGCCTGTAGGCAAAAGCAATGGAAGAGGCAGTCCAGGTACTTACTCTCATCGACCTGTGGGTGCTGAACAACGACTTGGAAGAGCAAGCGGAGGATGCCTGGGTTCTGGGCATCCTGATCACAGCCCTGCAGGGACAGGTTGAAGGTGCCAGCGATATTGGCAGGCTGGCTGTCGCTCAGCTTGAACACCTCTGGGTTGCTGGGGGAGCCAGGGATATAATACTCCACCCTCTCCTCTTTCCTTTCGCAGTTAGAGAGGCTGTAGTTGTGGAAAAACACGCTTGCTCTCATGTTGGAAGGAACCACGAACTGCCATGTCATGAGCTCATCTTCTGGAAAGCCCAGTGGGTAGTTTGGGGACATCAGGGTGATTGAAGACTCCTCCTTCAAAATGGATTCAATAATGCATAACCCTAAAACAGGGTGAGAGAAACCATACAAAATAAGTTCCAATCAATGAAAACACAGTGGCATATCTAGCAGCCCAGCAGCAGAGTATTTTGACAGAGAGATCACCCAATTCAGCTACAGGTTAGGTTACTACAAAACCTTCAGACTAGAACATATACTCCAGTTAATGCTTTTGTCTTTAATTACAGGAAAGGTAGGGGATATATTAATGTTCTGTTTTCAGTTTAGTGGGTTCACCTTTCAAGCACGTAGATACACAAGCCATTATTCTTTGGAAAGATCCCAGTTCCTGCTTTTGTTCCTGGCTTTGCAAGATCAAACATGCAACCTGACAACTGCTTCTGCTTCACTGGGTTTTGGGAAACAAAAGATGTGAGCTTTTATACCAGCACAGAGCTCTCTGTCCAAAAGCCTCTCAGATCTAACAAGAGCACACCAGTGAAGAGCCTCAAATACACATGATAAAACATGAATGTGAACCATGGAGGCTGTGTAAGACACTTTATGCTTGGATGACTTTTGGCAGCATGAAGTTGGGTACACAGAGATTATGGTCCTGCTCTAGGACTCCAGCGATGATGTGCAACTGTGAGCACTGCCAGGACTTACAAAAACTCATGTTCTACAAGCTCAAACCTGAACCAGGTTCCTTCTATAACCGATAGCAAGAACTGCATAATTCAAGCACAGAGCAAGAACACCTCCCAGAGAGGGTCTGTTACAAGATCACAAAGTAACCCAGTGATTGATTGCTATATAATATCCTAGGTATTTTAAGAAGATTATTACACAATGTTTTATGTTGCTGTGCAGGTTGAAACAGATAGCTGTATTTAAGCAGCCTCATGTGCCTTCCAGGCACTGCTTCCCCTTTTCCCACCTTCCTCTCCTGAAGAAAGGCATTTGAAGCTCAAGAAGTTATATAGCTTTATTTAAACATAATCAAACCCAACTACACACTGCAACTAGCAGATAACTCTGTTGGTTCATTCTAATTATGCTATCTAGTGTCACCTAGCTGCAAACACAAACCCAACAAAGCAGGTACATTTAAATTTTAGGAAGTTTAAAGAGATTGATAATTAGTAATATGCGCCAAAAGCAGCAATGTGACCGTTTTTATACTTATCAACTGATCAGACTAAGATATTTTGACCCCAGAAGAGCACCAGCTACTGAACTAAAACCCATACAACAACAGCTTTTAGAAAAAGATGAAGTGGAAGGGAGTTAGAGATGGCAGCACCAAAAAGTTACCTGACAAGAAAAGTTTAAAGATTTTGCTGCAATGTGCACAGTGAGGAAACATTACTTACGTTTTATGGAAGCCCTGTTAGCTATGTTGAAGCCCGAGGTGGTGAGAGGCGAGTTCCATGGGAGGTGCAGAGACATGATAACTCCTCCCAACAGCTTGACGCGAGACACTGAGCCATTCCTGCAGAAGGTGCCAATGTTGACCGTGGCCTTATCGATATAGCTGTTGATGTTGTAGCTGAGGAAATCCGGGCACATCTCTCCTGGCTCAACCTGTTTCAGCCATGGGGTAAATTTCAGTTCAAGCCCAGCCTTTGTGCTCGCCTTCACGTCCCAGATGAAAGTCCTGTTAAGGCGAGGTAGTCCCGGTGGGTAAAGATGAACATCTCCGAAGGGACACAGGCCTGACACACAGTCTAAATGCAGAGAGAGAACAGCCATGATACACTGTGGGAAGCACTCAAGTAAATAGGAATTTTAGTTTCTCTTTCATTGCTATTTTTGTTAAGTTTAGGTTGCTCTTCTCTTCAACACATACTAAAAGACACTCCTATATTCTGTGATTCTATTGTCACATGCTGTCTCTAAACAGGACTCCCAGAGTAGACAGGATAAACCTGCTTTACTCAGGCTGACTAATCGAAGGGACTCATTGTCTCTAGTACTCCTGCCTTGTTTGCCGAAGAATTTAGAAGGTATTTAGTGAACAGGGTAAAGTGCTGAAGGGAGGCAAAGGGAGAAACACAATGTCAGGAGAGCTGGAATCATGGATCTAGAGAAACAATTTTATCCCATCTCTCCCTGGCAAATCATTCATCTTCAAATTTTCCACTGCTTGCTATGAGCTCTATCTTCATTTCTTTGGTGCCCCCATGAACAACCTGGGCCTCAGATTTTGCAGAGGTGATGAATGACAATGGCCACTGCAGGATTCTGGGGAGAACTTAGAAAACTTGTCTCTGAAAAATCCAAATCATTGGTATTTCAAGCTGGACACTAAAAATAAGCACACTTAAACCTATGTCTAGGCTCTAAGTTAAAAGAGGAAATACCACAAGTGCACCTTTCAAATACATCATTAAATATTGTGAACATTATTATTTGCATTAATCATATGAATAAAACTCAAAAATGTGAAGAGAACAATCCCTGAACACCTCCCCAGAAATAACAAAGATGTTACCAAAGACTGAATGCCCAATGAAGTTTGGGACCTCGTTGAGAAGTAGCACATGTTCATGCCATTAATAAGTACATTAACAAGCATACACCAGGGATGACATTCAGCACAAAGGAAGCTTTAGTTACAACACTTCCAGATTTTCAGTTTCTTGACTTCAATAATGTTCATTAAATATAAGGAAACACGTGCATGTCTTCAATGCTTCTGCTGCCCTTATAGGCACAATCAAGCTGTTCAACAAATAATGTGGGTAATATATCATTAGCAGTGCTCAGAGGCTTTTGACAAGAAAAAAAGATTCTTTGATGGGTTTACAAATTGTGGGAAAAGGGAAGGCAGCAGGAACTGATGTAACAATCATGTAACAGTTCCTGAAACAGCCAAGTTAACATTAATGCTGCCAGCTGTAAGGTTTTTTATCAGTGTTCAGAGATTTCTTCCTTCCAGGGTTATAGCAGATACCTTAATACAGTAACAGGAAACAAAGGTATGTGGTTTTACCGGAGGAAAATTACCATGGTGGGAGGGAATTAAAAACCTGGATCTTACCAATATTTTTCTCAATTTCCATGATGAAATACTTCTCTGGAGTACGACAAGTGAAGGTAAAAGTCATGTTGTCCCCAGGCTTTATCTTGAGTTCAGACCTGCTGATGTTTTTAACACGAATCTGACAGCTTGGTGGAGCACTGGGTCTTGGTTTAATCATAACTGTAACATTGTCCACTGTACGAAGAGAGATCGTAAAGGATGCTAGGAAGGAAAAACAAATAGAGGTGTTTTGTTACTGGCACAGATGGGTATCACCAGCCTCTCCACACACCCCCCACAGATGCCATGCTGTCAGATCCTTGTTCTCAGAACTCTCTGGTGTTGGACTGACAGAAAATGCCACACCTCTTCCAGTTCAGCACCCTTCACGTGCCCAGAGAAGTATGCATGGATTTGTGTAGGACCAGTTCTGCTCCACTTTACCTTCACCAGGGTTATTTATTTCACATTTATAAAGTAGTTCAGCTATTCCTTTCAAATTTCTGTTGTCTTGATTTTGGTTTTCAGTCCATTATGCCCATCACAGAGCCTGCTTCATTTCTGAAGGCACCCATGAAGTCATGAAGTCTATCAGCAGCCAAACAACAACACAAGCCTCAGCTTCAATTGCACATGATGGTACAGGTGAATCTCTGGGTATACCTCAACAATTACAGTTGACCAGATGAGGTATTCCAGCAATACCAAAAGCACATCCCAACAGACATTTATACATGTGGTCATGGCCCTCTCCCACCTCCCCACCTTTTATAGCTCAATCCCTGAAGGTACAAGATGTCCATGCAATGCCCCTTGGAAGGTATCTGTGGCCTGGGATGGACCATATGTGCTTGGATACCTCCTCTCCATCCCTGACATGACCATTGCCTTTTGGGGAATACATTAAATCCTCAGCAATCTTCACAGATTTCAACCCATCCCCAAATACTACCAAATGCAGGAGAAGCTCTCACAGGAAATACTGGAGCCACAGAATAAACTGCATGTTGAATAATCTATTTTTATGGGTAGTGATTTATCAACATGGACCAATCCTGTCTGTCTTCTAAAAACATACCCATGACAGAAGACACCAAGGAGCACTGACTGCACATTCAAGATGACTAGAAAATTTAACAGCATCAGTTTGATGCTTACCAGAGATTAAGCCCAGCCCTGGCTGAAGCAAGTGAAGTTTGCACTGAAGTCAATCCTATCCCAGCTCCAGGTCGAAGTCTGTCTACAGCACTTGTGCTTTTAGTATTTATGGTAAAAAAAATATTACATATATAAATGTAATATTTTACACATATAAAGATATAAAGAAATAAGGGTACTCCAAGTTCTGTTCATAAAGGTCTATTCCTTGAGCAGAACATCACACAAGGCTGCATGACCAAGATCTGCCCATACGCCAGGTTGGGAATCCTTTTGTTCATTAACCCGAATAAAAAGATATTTACCTTAGCAAATGCAGAAGTGCAGCACCCCCGCAGTCATTCCCATTGCCAGGAAGGCACAGGAGAACAGTTGGATTGCAAATACACATCTGCAGGGTGTCCCAGACTCTGCCCGAGTGTTCAGCACCCCTTCAGCATCTAAACATATAGCTAGAGTGGTGGTAAGGATGCTGGCCAAAGTCCAAAGACCTGGGGTCTCACCTAGTGAGGACTGTGGAGAGCAGAGCTGAGCACACAGAGGAACCCTTGATCAGCAGAGCTCTTGCATGAACACACCAGAGACCCTCAACCATCCCACCATCATTCCCAGTGTGCCACTGGGAACACTGCAGCTTCAGGTTTGCAAACACCAGGCACGAAAAGCCTCTCTGGTAGGGGCAGTAGGGCAGAAGAGGGTGCTCAAAGAGTTACCCCATTGTGCTTTTAGTTGAGTTTTATTGGTCTTGAGCCTTTTTCCAGCCTTTCTGGCTTTTCTATACAATCTTGGAGTTGAAAGACTTATCAAGTCCTTGAAACTGCTTTACCTATTTGTCTCTAGGATCAAAAGCTTTAAATGAAACCCCTCACACACCACGAGGCTTGCCAAATTTCTTCGCATAATTGTTAGCAATGAGTTCACTAACCCTCTAATACCACTAATGAGAACCTAATGACCAAGCAAGTTTCCTCCAGCTTTAAGTGACGGGAAAGTCCTCTGACCCGAGAGCCTGACACTGAATTCTCTTGCCTCTTCCGAATCTGTGTTTCTGCCTTAGGAATGCTTGGGCAGAGGTTTCCAATATGGGGTTTCCCAGAAGAAAATTAAACAACAGAAAAAGACAACCATACAGGCTAGGAACTGCCTTGTGCAATGGCCTTCTAAGCAGACGGGATAATTGCAGGAGCAACATGTGCAGGGTGGGGAAAAGGAAGAGAGTAAAGCAAAGACAACAACCAAGGCTGCTCCTCTCCTCCTTTGGGAGGAAGAAGTTTTCTGAAGAGCAAGTAAAACAACTGCTCCCAGCCTAGCCCAGAGTTTGGTTTTCCATACCACTGGTCATTTGTGGGGTTCTTTTGGGCTTTTTATCATACTTACTGCACAAAATACCCTTTGACCACAAAGGGCATAATTTTTCCAATGTTTGTGTCATCCAGACATGAAGTGCTCTGAAGCCTAACACTAATAATTAATAACTACACACAAAAGTTGTACTTATTAATGTAGTATTCTTTTTTGCATAGAGTAATTGCTACACTCACCTACAGTTTGTAAGTATTGCTGAGAAGTCTGCTCCTTGCTTTCTCATCAAACAGTTATCACTATTCCTTGTTCCATCCCTGGGACAGCACAACCATAGGGCCAAACTGGCAAGGCAGAGAAACACAAGTAACAGCCAGCACTTCTGAACCAAATCACAGACTGGTTTGGATCAAGAGGGACCTTAAAGCTCATCCAGTTCAACCCCCTGCCACAAGTGGAGACACCTTCCACTGACCAGGTTGCTCCAAGCCCTGTCTAGCCTGGCCTTGAACACCACCAGGGATGGGGCAGCCACAACTGCTTGGGCATGGCTCCAATACCATTTTTAGTCATGAGGATTAAGTTTAAGCATAGCCTTAAGCACATGACTAGCTTTAGACCAAAACAAATACACACCCTGAGCTGAAACCAAAGAGCAGAGATTCTCCATGTTTTGAATGGCATTTTGAAATAAGCAAAGCCTCCCTACAAGGGTCAAAACAAAGCACCATCTTCCCCAGCTCTTGACAGACCTGACTTCTACTACCTGGGTTTTTTGCTCCTCCCAACTTCATAATCATGTAGCCATTTGTCTGATCTCCCTGGAAAAAGATCAAATCCTTGTCAGCTCAGTATTACCGATTACTACTGACCTTATGCCTCAGCCTTCCAAAACAGGACCTGCCCTCTCTTCATCAGGGACTGTAGAAATAGGACAAGGAGTGATGGGTTCAAACTGAAACAGGGGAAGTTCAGGTTGGATCTAAGGCAGAAGTTGTTCCCTGTGAGGGTGCTGAGGCGCTGGCACAGGGTGCACAGAAAAGCTGTGGCTGCCCCATTCCTGGCAGTGTTCAAGGTCAGGTTGGACACAGGGGCTTGGAGCAACCTGCTCTAGTGGAAGGTGTCCCTGCCCATGGCAGGGGGTTGGAACTGGATGATCTTAAGGTCCTTTCTAACCCAAACCAGTCTGGGATTCTAAAATCACAGAATTACTTCAATGAGCAATGTATCAGCATCCCAGTAGGCAACAAGGGTGCAGATACATACCAAATTAAGCTCAGCAAAGCTCTCTGTTAGAAGCCCCCACCAGGACAGACACCAAGACAGATTACTGCATAAAGAAACAGCTTGCTAAGAAGAAACTCCATGGACAGTAATTTTGGGCAAGAAATAAGAGCACAGTGCTGTAATGTCAACTGCAGCCAGCTGCTAGGGATGTGCTAAGCTACATTAGACTATCAAATCCTATCTGCATAGGAAAAACAGAAAAGAATGCAAAAAGTATATCCAGTGATCCCAAAGTCACTAAAAATAAAAGGCTAAATGGGCTAAACCCCCTCAAACTACAGACACACAAAGCATACTTTAAAAGCACCTCTATTGCAGAGCTTTATAAACATGAGTAAGTCTCTGTGACTCACACTAATGTGCCTTTGTCTGTGATTCCCACTGCCTGCCTTTTTATTAGGATTACCAGTAACTGCACACGTTTCTTGTAAAGGAGGCATTTCCATGCCTCATCAATGCTGCACAGGGATGACACACAGGATATCCAAACCAACAAGAGTAAGAACTGCCAAGCTAGATCCAGTCTCTGTCTACACAACGGAATTGTTAGACTAGAAGATGTCAGAGGTGAAGCCTCCAGTCCCGAGCTTGTTCACAGGCTGATGTAGACATCTCATCTCACCCTAATTTTTTTCCTCTAAGCAATTAGAGCTTTGCAGCCTCCCATGGCTGTTTCTTCAACCGCCCTCATCTCAGGCTGCATCTTCTCTGCTGCAACTGGATTTCACTACTGCTCACTCCCATTTCAGACTGCCTTTATGACAGCTGTCTCACCACAGCATCCCTTTATCACTAGAGTAACACTCCTCTCTCTGCAAACACACCTTGGATAGCTTTTTCTCAATTGTATGATGTTTTTCCTCCAAACCTATCATCAATTTTATGGCTCAGAGCTTTCCAACTTGAGTTAGAAACAAACTGCACAGCATAAAACAAGTAGGATTGCTCCAGAGAGTTTAGCCTAAATTTATCTACTGTGGTTGCACCTGACACTAATCTCCTAATATTTTTTAATACCTATATATAAATGTCAAAGAGACATTTTTTCCTGTACAAGAGAAGGGTGCAATGTAGAAAAGTAGCAGAGCAAGTGGCACTCATACAGCTTGTGCACGCATACACACAAGGGATGGACTTGGCAGGACAGCATTTTTAATGGCTATGTACAGTGCCTTGCTAAACAGAGCAGGAGTTAGAATGGGGTCCAACTAGTTTTAGCTAGAGGGCTGCATTTTATTGCAGCAATTTATCCATAAGGATCTATAGATTGTTTCATGCGACTTCACTGGACAGCCTGAGGAACCAAAGCCCACAAGAGCCACCAACAGGAAAATCTCAGATGTTACTTTCTCCCAAAATAACTGTCGTTTTGCTCATTCTGGTTCAATCGTGGGCTTGTTCCACTTGAGCCATTTTTAATGCAAACCAGTTAGATGAGGCTGACTCAGGTATCATTCACAAGCCGGCGGCAGCTG